GTGTCCGTGTTTAGTGTTCAGGTGTGGAGTGGGGCTTGTTGTTGGTGTGTGTGTTTGAAGAAACTGTAAGTTTGCTTTGTTTCCTCCTAGGAACTTTACTGTTTGTTCAGCTCATGTTTGATTTCTTCACACAACAAACTGTGGGGTTTTTTCTGGTCTCTCCATTAAAGTCAGTATGTAATGTTTTCCTGGCTAAAATCAGCTGTGTGAAGCTTAGTTTCAGCACTAATCTGCATCATTGCTTGTGTGATATCAGAGCAGCAGCAGCGAGTTAGTTAATGGTCAGCAGCTGAACTGAAGAGTTGTTGTTACTGCGGATCGACATCCTGGTGTGCCACTCAAACGTTTGCGTCTGCGCCCGGGACTCAGTCACGTGACTCGGAGACTGCCTGCGAGTTTTGGCCGATTTTTGAGTCACCAAAATGGTCATTTTGGTGATCGGCCCGAGTTTGGCCTTCATCGTGCAGCGTGTAGTATACGTGGGGTAACGAGAAGCGATTAACACTTCACGACCAGCTCCCGATCATCAATCACTTGGTCGGGAGGTTTTCAAACCTGTTTTCAAACCTGTTTGAAAGGATTCGAGCCTTTTCGATGTGGCCTCACAAAATTATCACAACCACAACAACCGTGAAAATAATTGGATCTACATCACAGCTGTCTGATCAATGTTTTTCATTAGCAATTTAGCAAAGTTGATGGTGGTGGTATGCGTGTCTGTGAGTGAAAGACAGAGAGAGAGCGGCAGAATTTCTGTTATAACCTTCATTTTATGGAGGCACAGTGTGAGCACTCAGGTCGCATCAGAGCATCGGGTCGTATAGTGTGAGACCCTGCATCGTGACCTACGAACTTCTAACCCCTGCGAGTCAATCGTACAGTTTGAGCAGGAGCGGAATCGCGCGACTGAAAAAATCGCACAGTGTGAGCCCGGCATTAGAGAGCAAAGTTAAACCAGGGGCAAATCTAAAGGTTCAGCGTTTTAGGGGTCTGAGACCTCAGTCATAATGTCATGCTTACAGTGCATTACAATTAATATTAATAGAATATTCTACTTGTAGTCAACTCTTTTCACATTTGCAAACCTCATTTCAGTTAAATAACAATTTGTGAGGAGAAAAAGAAACATGCACAACATTGTTTCTATCTTTTGAACACATTGATGATTTGTTCAAACACCTCTATCACATTTTTCAATAAAAGTGAAACCACTCTGCCACTCCTCACTCCTAGACAGGAAATAACTTGTAACAGCTGCTTTACCAATTCACACAAACCCTTCTTTTATTGTGCAGACGCAGCACAGAGCATCACCATGTATCCCAACTCCAAGAGTGGAGAATAGATTTGTAGTCTGTCAAATTAATATAACATCAGCCATCCTGTTTACACCATGTTTAGAGGAAACTCCACAGAAAGGTAAAAAAAACTATTGTTTTTTCCACTTCATTTCACTATCTTCCCATTTACCCATCTGTTTTTTTTTTCAGCTCTTGTGCAATCTCTCACTCCCCTCCTCTGCACTGACAGTCACAACACCCTGTTTTAGACTACAAGATAACAGAATAATACATTTGATCATTATTATTATTATAAGAGCAGGTTGGGGATCCGTATTTGATATCAGTATAACACACTGCAGTTATGTGAATCATCATCAATGACTATGGGCTTTGTGGACTTTGACTGCATGTCCACTCTTACCTGTTCATTTCTTTCTCCCTCTCTTTGCTGTCTTCATCATGCTCTCTCTCCCTTTCTCGCCCTCTGCATCAGCTCCTTGGTTGGCAAAAATGACCTTATAATCTCTAGTGATCTAGCCTACGTTAGCTAACGTTTTTGACATTTATAGAACAAATAAAAATAATCAGACACTTTATGAACAACAACAACATCCCAGCATTATCAGAACAGTTTTTGCTAAATTTCAGTTAAATTGTGTTTTAAATCTGCACCAGTGGTTTGAAATGACCTCTGCAGTTTCTTTCTGCTCTTTCCATTAATGTCCATTAATGTCAAACCTGCAGCCTCTGTGTGATGTCATGATGTCAAAGTGTGTGAGCACACAGTGACATCATGACATCAACAACACAGGACAGATTAAAGTCTTCTGTCTCCAGGAGAGGAGTTGGCAGGATAAATCATTAGAAGATGAAAACAAAAATACATAATTATTACTGTTATTACTACACTTTTTTTAGGGGTGCTGTGATGAAATGTAGAGGTGTTTGAGCACTCCTAAAAACTGACCTATGTGTTGAACTTCACTCAAGCCATTTAAAGCTGATGACCCATCACTAACAAATTTTATTTAAACAGATGAAATATGATTTTAAGACATTTCAAACATGTAAATGCATTTAAAAAAAGGTCTGACAGTAATGTCCCGTCATTGTGACTGATATGATAACAGTGAGGGTCCAGATGTTACAGATGTCATCATGTCTGTTTGTATTTCAATGTGAAACAGGAATTTTGCAACACGCAGATGTGAAACTAGACATTTTTATAGTTTATATAGAATATAAAACCATTTTAATATTAGAAAAAATGTCTTAAAGAAGATTGAATGAAATAACCAAACTGATGAATAATCAGTATGTTTACAGTTTTCTGCAAACTCAGCAGGAATAATTAGTGTGAAGTTTTTAACTCTGCTGATCCTCTTTGAATCATGGATCAGCTGAAATGCTTAATGTTTTTCAGACGTGTTGAATTAACTGAATATTAATAGACTGAAGCTTCCAGTCACAGTGAATCAGTGTGTGTCAATAAATGCGTCGTTTGTGCTTCATGGCTCCATCTAGTAGACTGATAGTAGAAGTAGATCAGCTGATGGCAGCTTCCTTTACCTCACACTGATGTCTGACTGCATTCAGCTGACACTGAGATGAAGCAGAAAAGAAGCAGCTGATATTTGGACATCACACATGATGAAAAGGAGGATTTCAGTTGATGTGCACATGAATGATTTGTGTTTCCTTTGCAGGTGAAGGTAGAAAGTGTGTGTGAGCTGATGTGGATGTGAATTCAGCAGCATGGATCAGTCTGAGGACAGAGAGGAGGGAGTTCCTCCCTCTAAAACCACTCTGTGTGGGGAACATGAGAGCCAGACCAAAGCTCAGAGGTGAGATGACCATCTCTAACTGTCCATGACTCTTCTCCATGTCACAGCTCAGCACTCACATCACTGTTCCATCATTATTCACAGGAACCAACCTGGACATAAACCTGAAACTGAACGTGGACCCGAACCTGGTTCTGGTTCAGATTCAGGTTCAAGCTGTATGTCCTTAAAGAGTGACCAGCATAAAGATGAGCCAATTGATTTTAAAGTCAGGCAGGCGTCTGCTGCAGAGAGGTGAGCTGTTGTAGTTGAGCTCATTTACCTGCTTGATGTTGTTGGATATAAACTGCAGGCAAACACATCATTCCCTCGATCCCATTTAAACTGTCTCCTTTAAAAAACAAGCCTTTGGTTTCTAAACACCTGAGCCAACAGGAAGTGATCAGTGACAGCAGGTATGTACGTTTGTTTGGACTGTAGCTCACTCTGATTGGTTCTCTCCAGTTTCCTTGCCACATTCTTCCATGTCACAGCTCAGCACTAACATCACTGCTGAGCTTTTTTCTTAACTTTGCTTGATTTGACCTTTTAAAGTTCAGGGATCTGTTTGTCTGCTGTAGACAGTTTTATTAACAGAGTCTCAAATCAGGCTGTTTATCCTCCAGTTATAATTTGTGACTCAAGCACATTTGTGTCTTTTTACAAACTGCTGCAGCATAAAACTCTGCACTCTAATAGCTGAGCTAAAGGAAATGCAGGAGAAGAAGACAAACCATTTTTAATATTGACTTTCATTTAAAAATGAATTTTAAAAAGCTTTTTATATTTTTTCTCTCTCTTAGCTTTGGCAGGATGAGCTTTCCGTATATACCGGCCTCTAAATATTTTCCTCGACTGAGGTAATGTGTGTGTAAATGGTGTTGGTGACTCGGTGTTTGTGAATAGATCCTCCATCATGTTTTATGTCAGCTCAGCTCTTTTTCACACACATTTCTATGTGTGTGAAAAATGTGAAGCGGTGTATTGGAGTTGTAGTGCCTCTAATCAGACCCAGTGCAGTATCATTTCCTATACAGACCCTAAACATCTAGCTAGGTTTGAGAGGAGGTTTCATGAATGTTGATAAAGACTGTTTTTGATGGAAAGTAACACAATGGCTCCTTTTAACAACCAAAACAACTTCATTCACAGTGAAAAATACTTTAAATCCTGACATAGACTGGTTTAAGTAATACAGAATTATTTTAATGTAAATGGAACACGTGCCTGTATTTGAATTCTTTCCCCATCATTCCTCTTACTTAGGCGATTAGGCTAACTGAACAAAGCAGCTAGCATCAAGCCTAGCGTCACGAGGGACATTGGTTCAATTACACCCAGTGACACACATCCAGTTCAACTTTACAAATTGTTGCAGAATGTTAGAATCTTTTGGGTGGTGCTGTTGTTTTTCTCTTTGTTTATGGATTTTCCTGTTAGGTTTTATTCAATTATTTGAATTTTATAATACATTTAAGAAAATTTTTAAGAGTTGTTTTCTCTCTCTTAACTTCAATTTCAGCAACCCTCTGAACATACTGGAAGAAAAAAAATTCAAATCTAAACTGAGGTAATGTGTGTGTAAATGTTGTTGGTAACTCGGTGTCTGTTAATAGATGCTCCATCATGTTTAATGTCAGCTGCAGGAGAACAACGCAAAACATATTTATATTGACTTTAAACAAAGACATTTGTCTGGTACAGAGAGAGTCACTCAGTATTTAATTCGAGTTCTGTTTTAAAATAATCTATTATCAGGTAAATTGGTTGGTCAGGTTAAATGTTGTTGGTGAATTGGTGATGGTGAATAAATCCTCCATCATGTTTAATGTCAGCTCAGCTCTTTTTCACACACATTTCCATGTTGATATGTGAAGCGGTGTGTTTGAGTTGTAGTGCCTCTAATCAGGCCCAGTGCAATATCATTTCCATTAATTTTAAAAATATGGATTTTCTCTCTCCTACCTTCAATTTCAGTGACCCTTGGAGTTTTCTCTCAGGATCACTAACTGCATTGAGGTAATGTGTGTGTAAATGTTGTTGGTGACTCAGTGTCTGTGAAGAAATCCTCCATCATGTTTAATGTCAGCTCAGCTCTTTTCACACAGATGTCTATGTTCATATGTGAAGCGGTGTGTGTTGGAGTGTTTCCACAAACACAGCAGTCAGAGTGTAAAGAACGGATGTTGTAGGAGGTGTTTCAGGTGTTGTTGGATGGAGGAGGACAAACAGTTTAGTGAGCACTGCTTTGATGCAGAGCCTTTCTGTTCTTATTGATCCAGATATTTCTGATTAGTGTTTCTCAGTGATGTTTAGTTTAGTTTATTGAAATCCTCAATTGATTGCTATTTCTCCTGCAATAGCAATCGCTGTTGTTCCTGGGATCTGATCATTTAGAAGTATAGGACATGAAACACACAAAAAAGCTTATAAGCAAGAGAACAACTCACTTTAAAATCAACGGCTTCTTTCTCTGTGCCTGACAAAGGTCACACAGATGTTGTAACTGAATAAAATAATGGTAATCCTGCCAGTTTTCAGAGGTTATACTCGTATTCTCTACAGAGGATAAATTGTTGTCAGTGAAATAGTTTGATAAATGGATCATTTGTTATTTCTGATTTAATGTTGTCCATCATGTGTGTGACTTCTTGTGACTTCTTTACTTTGGGTTTCCTCCCCTTATTCCTTCACTTTTATTAAAATATTTACATGTTAAAATGTAAAATACAATTTTTTTTGTCAGGATGTTTCTGAGACCAGATCTTCCTCAAACTGAAAATAGGAATGTGGCCTTGAAGCGTGCCCAGTCATTGGATACTGGTCTGAGTTTTCACAGAGAACCAGGTGCTGCTGCTGCAGAGAGGTAATGTGTTTCTAAATGTTGTTTCTGACTCAATAAATTCTTTTCACATACTTCTGTGTTCATATGTGAAGCTCAGCTTTTCTGGTTCTCTCCAGTTTCCTGTTAATGAGCTGGTCTCCACGGTGACCATGCATTGCCAGCTTTACCATCTTTAGGAATTACTGAGATTCCTGATGAATTCCTTCTTGTTTCTACATCCTTGATTTTACAGCAGGTTTACAGACCTGATGACGAACTGGTTCCTGGATTAAATTAGATTCTTAGTAAAACCTTTTTGAATGTTCATCATTTTTAGTTCCTTTGACTTTTTTCATCTCTCACTTCCTGTTTTGAGTAAAGATTGTGATGGGCTTTTTTATTTTTAGCTGTGATTGTTTTAAAGCATAAAAAAATAAAGAAGTATCCAGACTACTATTAGTATCGCAGTTACAACAGTATTGTGTCTGATCTTCATTCAGCTGTTCTCTGGATAAATGCAGAGCAGGTTAAACTTTTATAAAATCATCAAAAAGTCTAACAGCTGATTTGTGGGATCAGAAACATTTAAAAGTGATTTAAAATAAAGATGTTTGGTGACACAGAGTGAGTCATTCTACGAGTTTAATCAGGGCTGGATCATGTAGAGAATAAATTGTTGTCAGTGAAATAGTTTGATATCATTTGTTATTTCTGATGTAATGTGGTCCATCATGTCTCTGATTTGTTTGTTTATTTCTCACCTTTATTATTGTCGTTGTTATTTTCCTGTCAAGATGTATCTGAGCCAATATTTTTCTTTATCTGAAAATAGCAGTGTGGCCTTAAAGCGTGCCCAGTCAATGGATACTGGTCTAAGTTTTCACAAAGGACCAGGTGCTGTTGCACAAAGGTAATGTGTGTCTAAATGTTGTTCCTGACTCAGTGTTTGTGAATAAATTCTTTTCACACACTTCTGTGTTCATATGTGGCACTCAGCTGTTGTTTGGACTGTAGCTCACTCTGATTGGTCCTCTCCAGTTTCCTGTTAGGGAGCTGACGCACAGTCACACCCAAAAATGTGTTTTAAACATGTCTGTTGGTGTTTTTACTGAATTTCAGTGAACAGGTCACAGAGTGGTGAATGTTCTCAATTCAAAGCCAACAGGAAGAGGACAGAATAAAAACTCCTCATTAATGTATCTGCGCTGAAAGTATTGACTCATTTTAGAGGCAGATGAAGGGAAAACATCTTCCTTACACCTCCCTAAAAGTTTCCAAGCAGCAGCAGGAAACACTTAGTTTATCTTTCAGTACGTGGTGCTAATAAATGATATGTGGATTGTTCCTGTGTGACTGAAGCAGAAGCACTCTAACAGTAAAGAGTAAGGGCAGCTTAAGGATCATGCGAATCACACAATATTCTCCCTATTTTGAACTGTTCTTATTATCATTACAATGGTGGAGCCATGCTTTGACTTTATTAATTTATTGTTGGACAACCGATCTAATAACTGGTTCAAAGAATTGACAGATCCAGGATCATTCCAATCATCAGGATCATCAGCAGTTTGATCCATGTATGGATTGAAGTGTATTTGTGAAATGTTTATGCTTTATCAGTGTCTAACAGTATGTGTATGAGAGTGATGTAATGTCCATGTGTGCATGCTGAAAGAGACTGTGCTGGTCTGACTCCCCTCCTCCTTTCAGGATGGAGCCTGTTGGAGTCCAATGGTTTAGACCGGGTCTGAGGAAGTGTAAGTGTGTTTTTAATGTGATTCATTAAAACAAAGCAGCACACATTCAACCATCTTCAAACTGTCGCATCACTCATTCACATCTCTGATGTCAGGAGTCATCATCAAAGTGTCAATCAATGAACAGATGATGGATCAATAACTGCAGCTGGATTGTGTTTGTTCTCTCCATCAGATTCCTGTCAACTCACAATCAACACAAACACAGTACACACAAACCTCAAACTGTCTGACAACAACAGGAAGGTGACATTTGTGTGGGAGGTTCAATCATATCCTGATCATCCAGACAGATTTGATTTTGATCCTCAGCTACTGTGTAGAAATGGTCTGACTGGTCGCTGTTACTGGGAGGTCGAGTGGAGAGGACATGTTTTCATATCAGTGAGTTACAGAAGAATCAGAAGGAAAGGAGGCATTCTTGAGTGTTTGTTTGGAAACAATGATCAGTCCTGGAGTCTGTACTGCTCTGATGATGGGCCTTCTTCTGTCAGGCACAAAAGCATACAAACATCCATCTCCTCCTCCTCTGTCTCTAACAGAGTAGCAGTGTATGTGGATCATCCTGCTGGCACTCTGTCCTTCTACAGAGTCTCCTCTGACACTCTGCTTCACCTCCACACCTTCAACACCACATTCACTGAACCTCTTTATGCTGGATTTAGACTCTGGTTTCTGGGTTCCTCAGTGTGTCTGTGCTGAGTTGAATGTAAAGAGTGTTCTCCTGTTCGAGAAACATTCTGGCTGTTGAACAAATAGACATGTACAGACTGAACTGTCTCTTTCACTCAGAAACACTTTTTTAAAATTCATGGATTAAGTCAGTTGATGATTTTAAACTGTTCTAAATGATTCTTTGTAAACTTATTCCTCTTCAGTCCTTGATGAAAGATGAAAGCTACGATTATTCTCAGAGACATTCACACATTGTTGTCAATTGAACATGAATGAGGATGAAGCCTGCAGCCAGGCTTCATCCTCATTTCAACATTTACTGTCTTTAAAGATGATAAACGAGAACTCTGCAACTTTTTTTACCTTTATTGTTTTACAGTGATCTGCTCTTTATGAATGCACCAGGCCAGGAACTAAAGAGGCTAAATACTGTCTCTGCTTGTCTGTGGTGGGAAACTAAATGTTTTTCAAATTCAAATTCAAATTTTATTTGTCACGTACACAGTCATACACAGTACGATATGCAGTGAAATGCTTAGACAACTGCTCGTGAC